CCTGTTTTGAGATGCTCACCCCAGGGCAGCAGATTGCAGCAGTCTCTACTGCTTTGCTAATGTTCAGCACTTGCCCTCCCATCTTCTGTTAGCTCTGTGGGCTAATCTTGCCATCATGAAAACTGACTTCAGGATTCTCTAAGGAAGGCCTGGTATACTGCTGGAATTCCCTGCAGAGGTCCCATTAGCACCAGTGTCTGGGTCCAGTGCTGGAACGACAGGGGCCTGGTGCCAAGGGGACACAGGGAGCAGAGGCTGTGTCCTGATACCCATGGCCAGGGTGTGAAAGCGGACCCAGGAAATCAGTGTAGACATGAGTGGTAAGAATGATATCACTGTCACTGGTTTAAGGTGGAAATGTGCTCCTCCAGCTCTGACCAAGAAGCCTGGCTCCTGCAAACTTCTGAGCACCTCACAGGATTAGCCCATGCTGAGTCCATGCCGGTGCAGGGAGCCTGTGTACCCTTCACCTCCAAACAGATAGATACACATTAAACAGAAAGTGATGGAGTGAAGCGATTAAGCCTACAAAATGAAATCATAGAATCACAGAACCAACTCTTTGCTTTCTTGTTTCCTACTGTAAAGGACTTCTGGAACTGCTGACTGCTTTTGTGTCACATCCCTCGGATGGGGGCAGAGGATGCTGAAAGAAGGTTTTGTCCTGGAAAAGCAGAAAATGCCACCACTTCTTTGGTGAATATTTGCATGTTCTCTCCTTCTGCCTCTCAGTGTTTCTTTGGCCTCTCAGATTTGGATTCTATCAGGTAATCAATTGGTAAGGAAGATTCACCTGGAACTGAAATGGATTCACCTGGTTTAAAAGGAAATTCCAAGTTAGAACATAAGAAAACAAAACATGCTTGTGATGTGCCTTGAGAACACAAAGCTGTCTGCCTGTCAGAGCAACATGCTGCTTTCATTTAAGTCCCTGAGCAGCCTGTCCAGCTGGTGGCCCTCTGCCTCTTCCTGGGATGCTCGAATCCCATGTTCTTGGTGCCTGGGTGCTGCCTGCCTGGCCAGCAGCTAAAGGAAGGTACCCACAGACTGGCCCTTTTTGCTGGGTGTTTGGGAACGCTGGTGTTTCATTCCAGAACAAAATGAAATGTTGACAACCTGGAATTTCCCACAAAACAGATGTTTCCTTTTCTGGCCAGCTCTAACTCACACACACACATGTATCTGCAGAATTATTAACTGCTATGTAATGACACCAGAGCGTGTGCCCGCTTCCACCGTGTGGTATGGAGGGAATCCAGCCATCAAAACCCCTGTGTTTGAGCAGCCACCAGAGAAGCCATGGAGCCTGGAAAGCAGTTAGGTGGCTTAACTCCTTCTTCATGGAGCAACCCTTGTGCAATGTCACAGTGTGAGGCTGCGGAGGAAGGCGAGCGCTGCCTGTCTGAGGAGCCTACAGAGAGCCACTGGACACAGCCAGACTGCTCCTTACAGAACAAAGCACAAGGAAAGCCTCCATGCCTGTTTGGATCAGCAGTGATGAGTTTGTCTCCATCCCCTGGTAGCCCTTTTTGCCCCTTTTTTTTCTCTGTTTGAGTTTACAGCAGCGGTTGCAAAGTGCCAAAAGCTATGGGAAAGTCTGTGTTACATCAGGCAAGTTAAGTGTACTGACCCTCTGAGCCAGCCCACAGGGAAGAACAACAGGAGGGAGATTGCAGAGGCAGATAGGACTACTTAAGTAGCAATTCATTGTGAACCGCTTTTCTAAGCTGTTGATAGAAGCATTAAGTGTGAGAGAGGAAGGGGACTTATCTTCTTGCCCAAGCAGAACCCTAATGACTCCATAATGACTGCTAAATAAGGTTGCCAATAATCTCCATTTAATTATACAGCTCTAGCATGTCCTAAAAAGGAAAGAAAGCACAAAAGGCTCCAGCAGTCCTATGGTACCCAGTAGCACTTAGCTTAGGACTTACACTGGTACATGGGGGTTTATCCACATGTGAAATGCATGTGGATACATAGCGTGAGCTGCTGCTTGGGAGATAATTCACTTCCCATCCTTCATCTCATCCCATGTGAAATGTACTCACGTGAAATAAGTTTGCTGAGCTCTTGATGCAGCCATCAGTAAATGCTCTGAGCATCCAGGTAGGCTCTCCTCAGGGCAGAAACACACGTGCTTTCACAAATGTACTTGGGGGGGCTCTTCAGAAGCATTTTCTCCTTCACCGGAGGGGACTACAAAAGAAGGGTGTTTAATGAACACAGCACCGCTTCATGTGACGGTTTGAGGGGTGTTTTCAGACAGATGCCTATTGTAAGAGCGGGTGACTTACACAATGGCCTTTTGAAAAGCCTGAAAATATGAATTCCCTCTTTATCATTACTAATTTTTTTACTGATGCTGAACGTCTGAAAACAGCCGATGTTTGAAATAACAGCTTAACGGTACACTGCGAATGCAACAGGCTAAGGAGAGGATTTACTTCAGCACAAAAGTCTGGGTTTGGCTTATATTCCAAAGCTTTCCTAACCCTTATTTCTCTAAAACGCTTCTTCAGGCACAGAGTGGATTGTGGCCAACGCAAACACTGGTTTCATCTGGAATACTCAGCAAGGTAATTGATAAAAAGCATGGCAATAATAGGTGAAGGCTCTGTCATTTGGCTTCGCCACCAGCTCAGCAGACTTTGTTGTTACAAATAATACAGATTAGGGAAACATGGAAAAAAACACCCCAGATTTCCACTTACTGTGTGGAGAGAGAGCCAAATTCTGGATTTGGGGATTAAATGATAATGTGCAAGGCAGCGAGGCAGGAATGAAGAGCAGCTCCAGAACTGTGTGTTTATGGAAACACAGCGTGATCTCAACCATCAGCTATAGCACGTTTCAGTTTAGCCATGTGGGTTAAACATGCTCCAGCTGATGAACTCTGTTGGTTGCTCTTTGTGGTAAGCTTGCAGACCATTCCCTGTCCTGCCCCTCATTTGGACGGATGGAGCAGAAGTGTAGATGTGAAAATCCACAAGCCAGAGTTTTACCTTAGATTAGGTGGGAATTGTGTTGTTAAGGGAAGGAGGGGTAGACTGAGCAACAGTCAGAAAACTGCTGTGTGTCAGCATCCTATAAACGTGATGGTACGAACTGATTCCACAATGGGGAAGAGGTGCAGAAGGGCAGTGAAGGAGCAGACCTGTCTGCAGAAACCTTTCCTATGCTTCCAGGGCCATAGCTAATGGTCCCCAGCTACGGTAGGTATTAACAGCAGTGCCAGACGCTACACCTGATTATAATAGAGAGCTAACAGCTTTACAGAAGCAGTAGTAAAAGAGGCACAGCCACATCTACTCATCTCATTGTGCATACTGCCTGGTTGATACACTGGAGGGAAGGGAAAAGGTGCCAGCGTCAACCCTAAGTTGAACAAAGCCAAGTGCAAGGTCCTGCCCCTGGGCTGGGGCAATCGCAGGCACAGGTGGAGGTTGGGAATGCAGTGATTCAGAGCAGCCTGAGGAGAAGGACTTGGGGGTGTTGGTGGATGAGAACCGTACACAGACAGGCTGAGAACACTGGGGCTCAGGTCACAGGGGATGAGAAGCTCCTGCAGCATGGAGCCAACCTCCCTGTTCCCCTTGCAGGAAGACGCAGGCAGCAGGCTCTTTCCCAGGGCCCAGCACCCTCCTTTTCCTGTGCAATGGAGACACAGGAGGAAAACAAATGCAAGCAGAAGGAGATGCCAAGAGAAGAAGCTGAGTTCAGTGCAGAATACAAGCCCCAGAAGGCAATGGGAAATGAGGAAAGGCTTTGAATTCCTCCAGTGGAAAATATTAGAGCATGCACACAGTCTGCAATGCTCCTATCGGGCAGCAGCAGCCATTTCTCTGTTCCTAGCCTCACATTTTTCCATTAAAAAAGACAACAAAAGTGGCCAGTTGATGTGGATGAGCTCCTGAACTGGCTTTTCTCGAGGTAATGCTTCCTGTCTGAGGGGCTGCTTCTGGCTGGCTGGGTTTGCTGGCTGAGATTTTCAAAGTCACCCAGGGAACCTGCGTGCTCACACATGGACCATGAATTGAGGCAGGGACTGTCATCTGAACCGCATGAGCAGATGTGAAATAGTCTTCTTGTTTAATCGCTCTCTATTCACATGCTCTGTTTGCTGCATCTTTTATACGTCACTGTTGGTTTGTTCTCGGTTCTTCTCTCCACCCAGACTCCTCACATTTCGCTCCCTACTGATGTTTTCCCTCCTTTTTTTCCCCTGTACCTACAGCTTCTTCTGCATCTTGACCTTCCCTGTGTCCCCAGCTGCTTGCTGTCTCCATTATCACTCCTTTTGTATCATCAGTCTGCCCTGTCTGGCCGCTTGCTCCATATACAAAAGCTGAACCAGCTCTCCCGTTCCCAATAGGGCTTGTAAAATTCATTTCAGTTCTCCCTCCCCAGCAGTGATGCTGTGCAGATCATTAGATCATCCAAGCTCCATGCAAGAGCAACAGCATAACTGCAGAAACACCTTCCATGGGATGGTGGGGCAGGGAGGGAGAGAGACTGGGTGCAGAAGAACTGGCATATGCCTGCTTTTCTTGGTTGCAAATCACTGTTTATATAATGTTCAAATGGCTTTGAACACTGATGCATGCACCAGGTTGTTCCACAGCGCCCCAGGTTTTCTGCTGGCATCTGCAGTGCACTGCAAAGGCAGCTTCTGCCTTTACTTTGCATGTTCAGACACCTGAATTCCCAGGAATGCTCTGTGTGCATCCCTCTGTATGCAAGTGCTGGCATTCGTACCCACTCTGTACCACTGATGTGGAGCTTCCTCTCCTGTATCCAGATTATTGGTGTGGTAAAATTGGAGGGCACAAGCAGCTCCTTTTCCATGCAGACTTCAACTATTCTCAGACATGCAGCTGTCCCTTTAATCCTGTTCAGAGTTTGGAACACAAGCATACTGAAAACAGTGGAAATCAGGTGGCTGAATGCACTTACTGACCGCTGTTCACACAAAGCTCTTTTGCTCCTTTCATGGGCAGATCTGCTCCACTGATCAGCTGTGCTCCACTGGGTGAGAATGCTTTCATGGCCATAAGCAGGTCCATGAGGAGATGCCACAGGCTAACGAGGCACAGAAGGATGCAGGTGAGGTTTTTGGGTCAGTTCTCACCCATCAGCAGCAGTGCTCCCCTGGGAAGTGTCATAGCAGACCAGCATTTCAGCACCACCAGAGGGTAAGCAGCATCAGAAGCTGCTCACAGCCTGTCAGTGCCTCATCTTTTGAGCCTCAGAAGGGGCAAGAGCTGATGAAATCACACACTTCCATGGGCTCTGGTACCTAAGCCCTTGGGTTTAGGTTTTGAACGACCAGCATACTTTGTCAGTGCAGTGGATCACAAGTTTCTGTCATTGGAATAGTATAGCAGAGGATGGCGGTGGCTGCAGCAGAAGGAAAATGAATAGGTCATATAATTCTTCTGGTTGAGATTTATGGGCCCATCTCATTGAGACTAAATTGATGGTGTAGACTCAAATGAAAGCTAGGTGTGAGGAGCAGCTTAATTTGACAGCATGAAAATTTGTCCCCTGCTGGCAAACAAATCTACTTTTTCTATTAAGAAAAAAAGTCAGTCTGGTTAAAAACCTGGATGAGCTCCCATCCAAGCCATCAGAAAAGTCAGTCCGGTTAAAAACCTGGATGAGCTCCCATCCAAGCCATCAGAAAAGTCAGTCCGGTTAAAAACCTGGATGAGCTCCCATCCAAGCCATCAGAAAAGTCAGTCCGGTTAAAAACCTGGATGAGCTCCCATCCAAGCCATCAGATCATCATCCAGGTACTGGAACCATGCTAGGAAAAATATTATTGCATATTCTTTTCTTCCCAACTCAGTCCCTGGCCTCTTTCCACCAGGAGAGGGAAGGCCTCCCTCTGAGAGGAATGGCACCAAGCCCTCAGTGACTTTTTTTGCACCTTTTTAAGGATTTCTTATTCTAATTCCTTTTTTTTTTTGATGGTATTTTGTGTATATCTCTCAGGAGGAGGTGCCCATATAGACTGGTTCATTAAGGATTTCCTGGAAACGCCCTGGTATTTCTGGTAATAGTCTGCTTTACCTACTAATGAGGGAGATGTGCCTTTACAATAGGAAACAGAGCAGATGACTTTTTGAAGCTATTTCGTTTACTGTGCCCTTAGAGCTGAGCCAAAATTACTTACACACAAGCACTGGATTCTGGATAAAAGTGATTGTATTCAAGGCTAGGCATTTACACAGGGGAATTCCTCTGGAATAATAAATTATACCAGAAGAGATATAGAGGAATTGTTATTTCTGGAGAATCAGCATTTAAAAGTTCCCTCTGTGGATTCACACTTCATACACATGATAGAGGGGGAAGCTATTTTGTGGTCTGGAGAAGGAGATGTTTTAAAACATGATAAAGTGCAGAACTAACGAACCGCTGAGATCTGCAGTGTCTCTTGCCTCTTTATATCTCCCATACCACTAAACACACTACAACAAAACCTCACGCGCAGGGACCAATGAATAAAGACATAAAATGCATCATTATGGCACACTCTAAGGCCATTTTAAAGTTCTTTTTGTTGATGTAAAATAATACAGGCTACCTAGGACTATAACCAGACTTCATGGATAAATGTAATGCAGATGAATCAAAGGTTTACAGGGAAGAGATCTCATGGTCTCTACTTTGCTGATGCTTGTGAGAAAGACACCTGGTTATTAGTGCAATTCAGGATTGCCGCTCTGATGAGGATGCTCTTCTAGTGCATTCTTGACTACTAAGATTTGGGTTTGTTTTTTTTTCCCAAAAAATCCCTATAAAAGCCTAGGAGCTCTGGTTCTCTTTGGATCCCAGATGAAATGCTAAAGCCCAGCATTTCCCCTCCCTCCTTTCTACACCCCATTTCCAGTGACATGCACAGCCTGCACCATGCTGTTTTGGCTCCAGGGGCCTCTAGCACACTCAGCCAGCTATACTGGTGTGGAATAATCAGACTGAGCTCCTTCAGAATATCCTGACCTATTATCTGAGTGAAGTCTCCTTGAATACAGGAGTGCTTAGTACCCTTCCCACACACCTGCACAGGGACATTGGACAATTTAACCCCAAATAGGAAAGTCGAAACAGAACAGAAAGCATAACCTAGTCAGGACTTGGGTCTCCCAGTTTCTGGTACCACCACACTGTCTCAGCCTGCCTATGTGAAAATTCAATCTTCTCAAGCAGCTCTTTCTATTTGTCAGGCTCCTAAGGACACCCATGCTGGTACCCAGGTCCCCATCAAAACCAAACATGCTTTAAAGACCTGAAAAATGCCTTAAAATTCAAAAACTGTTCATAGAACATTCATGCAGAACGCTAAGAAAGGAGGATATGGTTTTCTTTAGCATTGCCCTTTGAATTGATGTCACGGCAGCCATGCCCACTCTCGTGCTTGGAAGCATCTCAGATCTCTGAAAATCGTGAGGTTTTAAAACACTTAGTTATCATTGACTGCTTACGCTTTGTCTCCTGCCTTTAAAATCCATTGGAGGTCACATTATCAAGTACTTGTCCACTTGTAAGGCTAGAAATGCAGCCTTCCAAAACAAGAAGTCTGGGATTCCCAGATAATCATTTGAGTAGAGAACCAAGGATCTACTTGTGAGACTCACAATAAAATCCTGAGAGCTGGCAGCATTGACAGTGTGATTGTTATTGCAATTAATGAGAGTTTCAGGAACACTTACAGGAGATAATAGCTCCTCTGTGTGCAAAATATCTCTCCCATAAAACTGCTATAGAGCTTAGCCTTGCTTGTGGCTGCCAACACGAATTAGTCAAGAACAATTCATGTCAAATAATCCTTATTTCCTCTCTAGTAAGGCAAGAAATTCTGTGGGCAGAGGAGCAGCATCAGATGCTATAACTCAGCCTCGGAAGGTTTTTTATATTGTCTCAGGTGACATGACCATAAGCAAATTAGGGAGACAAAATAAGAGTTGATCCAAGACAGATGCCTTTGAGATTCAAAACCATTGTACAGAATCTGCTGAAAAAACATAGTTAAAAAGAAATGAGCAAAGGCTCATTGTCAGACCACAAGGCTGTATAATGTGGCCTTTCTTAGGCACCCCTCCTGGGCCAGTTTAATATTTCCATTAATAAAATGGCTTCTTACATTTTCAAGCAATGGGAAAGCTTAGAGGGGCTCCAGGCGCAGTGAAGAAGAAGAGTTGGATTCATAATGACAGAGGAAGGGGTCAAATGGTCTGAAAACATAGTAGTAGGATTTAATCCTAAAAAAAAATCCCAATCAACAAAAAAAAAGTAGTGGGATGTGATTTAATATGCACAATGGCAAGGCTCTAAACAGTCAGGAATAACCATTTGCATCAATTCAGAGCTGGCAATGTTCTACAGAAAAGGCTTTGGGAATAAGAGGGGTTTACAAACTAGGTATGATACCATGCAGTTGGAAATAATTGTCTTTAAAAAAAGGAGGAAAACATATTGCATTGTAGAAACCCTTCTGTTGGAAGCAAGTAACAATCCTTCTGACTAGTGCTGTCAAAACTGTAAGGGAAGTTCTGTTCCAAGTTTTAGGCACTGGATTTCAAGGTAGAGGTAAACCCATAGAAAGACAGAAGTAGAGAGAGATTATAATCATCTTCATACCTATACAAGGTAGCAGAAGTAAGTCTCACAATGACTAGGACAGAAACAAAACATGAATCCAAGTAACAACAGTGTAGATATGGGTTAGTCTCCAGCTGTAGGATGATTTCCAGTAAAGATCAATGACTTCTATAAGAGTGATGATGAGACAAGCTAAGGAAAGAAATTACTTCTTTAACTATCAGGTCAAATTATCTCATTGTGTAGTGTGCCATTCCTGCTGAAAGTCAATCAAATGAATAAGTTCATGTCACACCAAGTGCAAACTACACACTGGGAAGCTACTTGCAGAGCCATTAAAGTTTACAAGTAAAAAATGTAGGTGATGCAGAGATACAGGTTAGGGAGCAAGTGTCTTTTAGTATTTGTTCATAATGGGCCAGAAAAGGTAAGAGGATCCAGAGCATTCTGTTTCCAGCTATTTGGTTTCACTTATTGTTTCAAGTTTTCTCTATTAGGCACTGACTGAAATGAGCTGAGTGGTTACTTGCAGCACTGGAGACAAAGACATAAATAACTGAACTAAGGTAGGCCGGTCCATGGGGAGAATTTAATTATAGCTATCCTGTTAAGTACTTTCATGATGCTTGTTTTTTGCAGTATCTTTTCTATAGAAATGCCCTAAAATATACCTGTGCAGAATTTCAGCCTATCAGTCCGAGGATCTGGGACATGGAAAGGAAATTCAACTGAGACAGAGTAAGTTTTCCAGAAAACCCCTCACAGACGAAGCTGGATTGTTCTCATTTTCTTAGGTAACCAGAAAAGAGACAAATGGCAAACAAATCAAGACATCAGGTGTTTTATAGCAGTAAGAGGTGCGTAGTCCCTTTTCTCCATTTCACTTGTCACCTTTAGGTGTTTGGTGGCTGCAGTTTCAACTAAACACACTGAAGAGCTGAGTAGGTCACAAGAAGATGAAAATCTCATTGGACTTGTTCCTAGTGTGCCCCGTTTCTGAGAAACCTAAAGAGTTGACAGGGAAATTAAGAAGATAATTGAATCTGCTTGTTGTAACAATAGCCAAAGGCAAAGAAGATGTGCTGATGTCAGATAATAACATTTCATTTCTTTCCTTGTCCTGAAAGGTGATACGTGTTAGCACTAATGCCCCTTGGCACAAGAGTTTGCTGGAATGTACTGCTTTAGCATGGATCAGTGATCTTGAAGCTTTCCGAAGTGGGTGCAAATGTCAGTCCACTGAGTAATGAGCACCAGGGAGGATTGCTCTCCATAGGATCTGTCTAAATAAATAAGAAACTACCAGCTGTCAGTCTGAAAAGAGGGTCAAAGGCTGTTGGGGTTTTTTATCGGACTGCTTGTTTGTCAAGCATACAAAACAATACATAAAAAATAAGGAAATGAGGAAATACCAGCCAGCATATGGCAGAGCTTTATGAGGCTGATCAGTGTGTCTGAACAGTCATGTGAAAGTCATGAAGATCACTTTCTTCCCCAGAAGGAAAACACTTTGGTTTGGTGCATTGTGGATGTGCACTTGCACCCATGTTTGGACCAAGAGTGTTTCCCAAGAAACATTTTGGGAGGCTTTGAGAAGTGAGGTCTGTGTAAGTGAGTGACTGCTCATTTCTCAGGAGGAGCCATTACTGCCATGGCAAAGTACTGCGGTTTCGGGGTTTTATTATCTGCAGACCCACAGAAGTCTATGTACTATTTCTACTTTCTAAGCCTGTGACAAAGCAAGCAAGAAGAGATTGGCCACAGATTTAAATGAAAAATGCCAAACCTTCCCTAGGTGGATGCTAGAGGTTGCAGAAGTTGAAAGTATTTGAAAATCACTCACTTAAACAACAATCAGATACTTTGCAAAACCATACAGAGGTTGAGATATACTCGCTGAGGAGCCAGTCCATCTCCTGCTACCTTCAGTGAGAGCTTAACTGGCTCCCTGGTTCAAAGCCCATTGGACTGAATGCGCATCATTCAGAGACTTCAGTGGGCCTGGCTGTGCTTGAATAGCAAAGTCAATATCAATTGATGAAATATCAGTTTGTTTGCAAGTAATTCATGTGTAGAAGAGGAACTAAGTTCACCAGATAAATATTTTGCTGTAAATAATTTGCCCTAAGTCCAGTGCTTACCTGATTTCCCTCAAACCTTCTGTGTAATCTCTGCAAACCAACACTGCAAACTAAATGGAGTAAAACCGAATTCCAGCATTCCATGGAGCTCTTTTTGAAGGTTTTATATGCTACATGCACACTAGATTCATATTTAAACCAGCTGTTTAACATATGAGGATTTTACTACTTAGTTTACTTCTACTATTTTTCCATTAATAAACTCACCGTATATGCAGGCTTACAAACAGATCAAACCAAACCCAAGTGTTCTAAATACACTGTCAGTTCATTAATAAATGATAATAAAGAAAAAGTACAGGTTTTTGATTCAAGCTAGCTGAAAAGATGCAAGAGAAACAGACTGATATCATCCAGTCTCACAGACCACAGGAATCAAACCATGTAAGCCTCCACCTAGCAGAAATAAAATGAAGGAATCACATGGTTTTTAGAAAAAGCTTAAAGAAAATTCCAGAAGAAAATAATTAGCGACACATCTTTTGCTAGTTTGGGCCTTGCTGTATTCTCTGTGTAAGGTAACGCAGGTGTATTTCCTAAACCAAAAGCAAGTGTACATAGGGATCACCTTGGCTTTACAGCAACCATCTGCACGATGTCTCCATTCAAACACCCAAAACTGAAGGCACCGAAAGGTACTTCTCTCTTTTGAGAAACTCTGGGTCATAAAAAGGGCTGCTTTCAGATTCATTGCTCATATTAAGCCTAACAACCAAGCTTTATACAGCTCAGAGAGCCTGCGAGCCCTCGGTGCCAGCACAGATACACTCGCCCTTTTCACTTGGATTCAATGGCAGGCTGTGCTGCAGGTCTGCTCCGAGTGGAGATGACAAACAGATGAGTTCCCACACTTGTGTGCACTTGGGTTCTTTTAGGCAATTTTAAATGAATTCAGAGGTCACTGGAAAAGTGAACCCTGACAGGACGGAATGCTTAAATTACAGGGAAAAAAGCAAACAAACTTGACCCCCACTCTTTGTGATGGCTCTGACAGTGCTGAAATGAAAACAAAAAAAAACAGGGAAAAAGAAGAAATTCCAGAAGGTTTGTTAGGAAAAAGCATCACATTCTGCTATGTAGTATTATATCCTTCTGTGAAACAGGGAGATTAGAACTCACTGTATCTTTTGCTTTTCCTAATTCTCTTCTCCCCCTAAAAATTCATGGGCTCAGGACAAATGTGGAGCACACTAAGCATTCCAATTGCTTTTGAAAGGAGTGTTTTGCTAGTGGAAAATGTGCTGTCTCTTTGATTGCAAATGTAGCCGATTGTGAGGAGAATGAAAGGGTGACCTATGACATGACCTGACAGTGCAATAAGGTCATTTTTCCCCCCCCTTCCTCACACAAAAGATAAGAGGCTGACTGCTTACAAAGTGTTCTGGCAAATGGACAAATTAGGACTGCCGGGACTCCCGCTCCGGTCAGGCACGTTATGCCAAGTGGAGATAAGTGAAAGTCTGAGATGTTTGGAGCAGGAGACAGCCCGCGAGCTTTCATTCCTTCCCCACATGGATGGATGGATGGATGGAGAGAGGGAGGGAGGGAGGGATGGTGAAGGAAGAGAGCTGTGTAAAGCTGCCTGGCCCAGGACAATCAGGCTTCCAACTTGGAGCTTCTGCTGCAGTGCTGGATGGCACCTGCTCAGGACAGCAAACCTCAGCGTGACTCCCAGATGGACCGTTTGTTTTCTGTGAGGCACCGCACGATAACAGGCAGGCAAACTCCTCCTTTGAGGTGCTGAGCCAGATCCTGGGGGAAATTTACACAGCTGCCTTGCTGGAGCGTTGTATTTGAATAACACTTGCCTGTTGTTTAGGACAACACTGACACAATTAAAATACAGCCTTATTGCTTTCAAAAGGGAGCTAGATATGGGGGCTGCAGCACCTCCCATACAAGGACAGGCTGAGAACATTGGGGCTGTTCAGCCTGGAGAAGTCAGAGCAGCTTCCAGTGTCTGAAGAGGGCTACAAGGGTGCTGGAGAGGGGCTCTTCATCAGGGACTGCAGCCACAGGACAAGGGGTGATGGGTTCAGACCGAAACAGGGCAAGTTCAGGTTAGATCTAAGGCAGAAGCTCTTCCCTGTGAGGGTGCCCAGAGAAGCTGTGGCTGCCCCATCCCTGGCAGCATTCAAGGCCAGGTTGGACACAGGGGCTTGGAACAACCTGCTCTAGTGTGGGACATCCCTGCCCCTGGCAGGGGTTGGAACTGGATGATCTTAAAGTCCTTTCCAACTCAAAGCATTGTGTGATTCTAATATATAATCCAATGATTCTAATATATAATCCAATCTACCACTGGCTGTCCAGGTCACTGCGTGGGCAAGTTTCTGTCCATGTGTGCCCACATGTAGAAACATACTCTCAGACAAACCTTTCAAGGAAAATATTTTCATACCTTGCTGGTGCATTATGGGATAAAATAATCTGTGAGTGCAATGTGTTCATATAGAACCGTGCTGTTCTTTTATACACCTAGCTAGAAAACTGAGATGCTCTTTAGCAAATCTAGAGTCAGGTTTCACTTGAGCCCTCAGTGAGGCTATGGTTTGGGTGAAAGCTCTCTGGTTCCAACAAATAAACAGCCTAAAGCTCAATCATTTTAGCACAGAATTGCTTTGAGGTTTGGGGTTCGAACCCTAACCCTCAGTGCAGAATTCCTGAGTATTAACTCATTCAAACCAAACCCAAAACAAAGCTTTTCATGAAACCCAGGAAGCCTGAAACATCAGCCTTCATAGTAGGGCTATGAAGAAAGCACCAGAAAACCACAGAGAAGCCCAGACACCACAAAAAAATTAAACAGATGGAAAATGTCACTTTCTGGAGACACTTATTTCTTCCTACAGGTATGGCAGGTTCTCTAATTTCTGTTTAATCTGCTTCAGAAATGCACAGTATTAATAATGTCCCACCTAAAGTTTATCTGGCACACGCTTTGTGCCAGCTGTGCCTCAAGGAGCTGTCCCATTGAAAGCAGAATCTGTATCACCCATCGTAGGGTGACAGGGCGGATAGGTGTTATCAGCCCATTCATGGAAAGCTATCAAATGTGGTGCTGCTTGATTTCATTTCACAAACATTTTTCTGATGGAAATGGAATATTGTTGTGAAGGTCTGGAAAACCTGCAAAACAAGACGTGTATCCCAGCATCACCCTGAGGAACCAGATTTGCACCATCTGACAATGTCACTGTCAACTCATTTGGGCTCTGGACCAGAGGAATCTTCAAGCAAGTATTCAGCTTAAAGCATGGCAGTGATCTTGTCCAGGGATTCATACGTTTTAAATGAAGAAGTTTCTTTACTGCTTCACAGAGGCTGGAGCTACGTTAAGAGATAAGCAAGAGGTAAACCTGAAGATCACTCTTGATGATGTACACACAGAGATCTTTCCTTTTTGGTACTTTTCTGAGGTATCAAATTGAGCATATAAATGAACTTCTTAGTCCTGTCAAAACCAAACACGTGGCACAGAATAAGCAACAAGACTGATCCTGCACCCTCACACGGTTCCCATTATCTTTTGGTGGAAACTGGGGGAAAATTCAGTCCTGCGTATCTGCCAAGCTAATCTTCATCTGTGACCAGAACAATGAAGATAGAGAATCTGGACATCATTCCCCTCAACACCGTCTTGGTCATGCTGATATTATCATGATGCTGTAGAGCATCCATCCCTCCTATGTCATGATTATATCGCTAAAATATGTGGGCATATCTGCACAGTGATTCGCCATTAGGTTAAAATGAGTAAAGTCAAATAGAAACTTTTATTGCCCCTTGTTTTAGAATATAACAGAAAATACTTGACATCTGGTATCTTTTAATGGCATCTGGAGTTGTGTCTAAGCAGATACTGCGAATTCGGTTTCTTCAGTTGCATTTGAATTTCAATATGAGTTATTTCAGCAGAGACACAAACTTCTCATTTTAAAGCTAGTTAAACTTACGCAGCAAGAAGAAAGACATCTCTAAAGCTCCTTTGGTTGAAATCAGTGTCTGTGTGTTGTACACCCTTTGATGTCTGGACAACAAAGAGGAACCTCAGCTTAGAGGCAGGGTTAGGAGGAAAAGCTGAGGAAATAAAACATTTGTTGAAAGGGAACATCAGCTGTCATTCAGCCCCAGAGTGGGACCCTTCCTGCTACCTTTGGGATTGCGTTTTGGTTTCTAACTTGCTATTGTTTTTTCATTCAGGGTGTAAAAAGCTTACCAGCAGCTTCTGACGTGTTTCAGGAGAGCCATTCCACCATTCCACAGCCTCCGCTCAGCATCTTCTAACCTCCAGCAACCATTTGGAGAGCCTCCAACCGCTGGTGCAGAGCTGCTCCTGACAGACACAGAATTACGTGGGTTAGGGTTCACTGGTAAAGAGAGTGCACGGGTTC